TTCGTCTTAACATAATTTCACATTTTCTTTGGACTTCCTCACATCTCCCGCTCCCACCTTCATCATTATAACATTTTGTCAGCAATTTATCATCTTATTTAAGTTCTTATATCTCTTCGATATTTCATAATCTTAAAGTTCTCATAAAGAGTTAAACTTTCACAGTTTTTCTTATTTTCTTAAAAACTTCTAAGTTAAGTGGTGCTCAGTTATTTAGTCTAGCATCTTATTCAGCATTCAGTCAAATCACAATGTTTTTGTAGATAGTTCTTAAATTTCTTCCAATCCTCCTCGATTCTCTCTTCTCCCAGGTCACGGATTCTGCCAGTCATTTCAGCCAGTTGCATATAGTCTATCAGTTGCATCTGCCATTCTTCCAGTGTGGGTAGATCTTGAGTTTTCCAATGTTTTGCGAGTAGTATCCTTGCTGCTGTTGTTGCATACATAAAAATGTCTGGTCCTTCTTTGCCACCCCTTGGCTGACAATACCCAAAAGGAAAGCCTCTGGTTTCTTAGTGAAAGTATATTTAAATACCTTTTTCAATTCATTATAAATCATTTCCCAGAACGCCTTCACTTTAGGGCAGGTCCACCAGAGGTGAAAGAACGTTCCTTCACACTCTTTACATTTCCAGCACTTGTTATCAGACAGGTGGTAAATTTTTGCGAGTTTGACTGGGGTCATATACCATCTATAAATCATTTTCATTACATTTTCTTTCAAAGCATTACATGCAGTAAATTTCAATCCATTACTCCACAGCCTTTCCCAGTCCTCAAACATAATATTATGCCCAATATCCTGTGCCCACCTTATCATAGCCGATTTAACCATTTCATCTTGTGTATTCCATTCCAACAGCAAGTTATACATCCTTGAAAGTATCTTAATCTTTGGTTCTAACAATTCTGTTTCTAATTTCGATTTCTCCACCTGGAACCCTAGTTTCTTATCATTTTTAAAAACTTCTTTAATCTGAGCATAGTGTAACCAATCTCGCACTTTGTCTTTCATTTTCTCCAAACTCTGCAATTTCCAATTGTCTCCATCTTTTCTAGTATTTCCCAACATTTTGGCCATTTGGCCTCCATATTGGGTCTTTTCGGGCCTTAGCTTCCAAAGGTGAAAGCCACCTTGGTGTTTTATTTTCCAGCAAGTCTTTATATTTTGTCCAGACATTAAACAGTGATTTTCTAACAATATGGTTCTTAAAGGCCTTATTTGCTTTAACTTTGTCATACCATAAATATGCATGCCATCCAAAAACATTGTTAAACCCTCCAAATCCAACACATCAGTGTCTTCAAGAAGTAGCCAATCTTTTAGCCAGCAGAACGCTGCGGCTTCAGTAATACAACTTTAAGTCCGGCAGGGCAAAGCCCTCTTTGTTTTGCATCAGTTAGTATCTTAAACTTAATTCTGGGCTTTTTGCCCTGCCAGACAAACTTCGAAATGTCTCTCTGCCACTTCTGAAAGCACTCCATTTTGTCCAAAACCTGAAGAGTTTGAAATAAAAACAACATTCTTGGCAGTACATTCATCTTAATCGCAGCAATTCGGCCTAACAAAGAAAGTTTCAATTTTGACCAACTGTCTAAGTCTCTCTTAATTTCTGTCCAACATTTTTCATAATTATCCTTAAATAGACTTAGATTTTTTGCTGTTATGTTTACCCCTAGGTATTTTACTTTTTTAACCACATTAAGTTCCGTCTCATTCTGAAACCGTTCTGACTCTGTCTCAGTCAAATTTTTCCCCAACTGCCTTGCAAAAGTTTCTAACATCCTCATAAATTGGGAAGTTTTGCATGCTTAGAAAGTGGAAAGTTCTGCCCTTTTGGAGACAGTGATCAAATGGACTCAGGAGGGGTAGATGCAGATACTTCAAAGCAGTGGCTGGAGACAGTCAGTGGTTTTAATCTGAAGGTGGTATGATGATCAAAGCATTAGTTCCTTTCTAGGGATGGAGGATAAATTCAGTGCACTTCACATTTAAAGCTACCTACCTAATCCCATACTATTCAATACAATACAGGTGGCGCTGTGGTCTAAACCACAGAGCCTAGGGCAGGGGTCTGCAACCTGCGGATCCGGAGCCGCATGTGGCTCTTTTACATCTTTGCCGTGGCTCCGGGGCGGATACTAGCGAGGGGAGGAGGCGCATTGTGCACCCCGACACTCCCCACTGTGGCGGACGCTGTACTGGCTGTGACGTCGCATGGGGGCGGTGCGTGCGTTAGTCACGCACCGTCCTGACGTCACCTTCCCGCCCGCCCGCCCGCTACATTGTAAGGGGCATGTACGCTGGTCACTGCATTGAAAGGGGGCATGCACACTGGTCACTGTTTTGAAGGGGAGTGAAGAACACACACACAAAAAAAGGTAACTTGTTAATTTAACGTTTATTTCTATGAGGAGGAGTAATTCTGAGGGGCCAAACAAAGAAATAATAAAAAAGTGACAAAAAAGTTATTTTGATAATGACGAGTTTTGCGGCTCCCAGTTTTTTCTTCTTCGGAAACGGGTCCAAGTGGCTCTTTTTGTCTTAAAGGTTGCAGACCCCTGGCCTAGGGCTTGCTGATCAGAAGGTTGGCGGTTCAAATCCCCGCGACGGGGTGAGCTCCCATTGTTTCAGTCCCTGCTCCTGCCCACCTAGCAGTTTGAAAGCACATCAAAGTGCAAGTAGATAAATAGGTACCGCTCCAGCAGGAAGGTAAACGGTGTTTCTGTGCGCTGCTCTGGTTCACCAGAAGCGGCTTAGTCATGCTGGCCACATGACCTGGAAGCTGTCTGCAGCCAAACCCCAGCTCCCTTGGCCAGTAAAGCGAGATGAGTGCCACAACCACAGAGTCGTCTGCAACTGGACTTAACAGTCAGGGGTCCCTTTACCTACCTACCTAACCCCACACTTTTCAATACAATACAGGAACTGAAACTCACCCATCCTTTGAAATCCACACTTTCCTGAAATTTGCAATGCATTTCTTCAGCCAATATGCACAATAGTTATATGCTTGCATAAAGAGCGCATGGAAATACATATATTAGTGAAAATAACATACATAAAAGTGCTATGGTAGGGAAAATTGCTTGGGCAAAACCTGTTTATTAAGCCAAATTGCATACAAATGTGTACATTGGGGAAAAAATCCCACTAAAATTCTTATGAATTTTCGTGAGCAATATTAAAAAAAAAAATTGTAAACACGTGTGGAAAAGTGGAAAAATGAAGTTAAGATAGGGAAAGTGGGAAAGTAAAAGCAACTAAAAGTGACAGATTTACCCATTCCCAAGTACAGTGGTACCTCGGTTTCTGAAGAATGTTTCAGTTTTCAAACACCGTCAACCTGGAAGCAACTGCTTTGTTTTTCGAACACTTTTCGGAAGTCAACATGCCACGTGGCTTCTGTATTGAGTTTTCCATATTGTGTTGAGGCTCCCATATTCAGTTTTTGGTTTTCGAACGTTTCGGAACTCGAATGGTCTTCTGGAACGGATTACATTCAAAAACCGAGGTACCACTGTACTACGTGTCCATTTATTTTGTTTCACTATTGCTGAGGATCAAAGAGATACTGCAGGCTTTTATTATTAACATTTCATTCACACATACACGCCCCTATATATACACACACATACAGCAGAACTATGGTGGTTTGCTAGACTTCAGGGTTTATCGAAGCCTTAGAGGCCTTCTTTCTCCAATTTGCCTTTTGATTGGCTAGAATTGATCTGGACATTTTTTAATGGCCTTTTGATTTCAGTTGAATTGGATGAATTTTATTATTTTTGTTTTGATGATGGCTTTTTATACTTTTTTTTTACTGTATACTATATTTTTTACTGTTTTAAGTTTTGTGAATTGATATTTCCAGGAAAAGTAGTCTAAAAATATTTTAAAATAAAACTAAACAACAACAACAACAACAACAAACAACAACAACAATAATAATAAAGCATTCATGCAGGCCAGGAGTGAGGAACTGGATTTGACCAATTGGTGAGAACTGCAACTGGAGAGGTATTCCATTCTGCAAATGGTGTTTGCAGTTGAACAGATACCATTGGATTCTAATAGTATGTGCTCCACTGAAATGCAGGGCAGGTGATTTGAGGAAAATCCATTTTCCAAGTTTGGATAAAGTTATTTTTAAAATCTGATTTTTCAAAGTTGTGTAGTAATCAGAGTCTCCTGGGTATATCCTTTATCAAATTGGAACTTTGTCTCTTCTACCTTTCCATTTTAATACCCAATCCCCCAAAACATTTCTAGCTTATGTTGTTCTTTACACTGTCTTCTAATTGAGTCATGAACCTCTTGGGAACCCAGAACAATCTTTCTGTATAAAATTACTGCAGCTCTCTCCTATGCCCATAGACCTGGACATGCCTTGCAATTTAGCTGCTGTTTATAAAATTACAGAAACATTATGCAACACTTTAAGAGAAAACTTCAGACATAAGAGTACAGTAGAAGGAGACCAACACTGGACCAAAAACCCATCTAGTGCAGCAATCTGCTCCTACAGAGGCCAACCAGATGCCTATGGGAAGCTCACAAGCAGAACAGGAATGTAGCAACCTTCTTCAGCTCATGCTCTCTAGTAACTGATATTCCGAGGCATATTGCCTTTGACACTTGAGGTAATATAATAAATCACCATTCCTGTTGTTATTTTCATCTTACATTTCTCACCTGCGCTTCACCGTGAGTCCCAGGGCAGGTTTCAACAATTCAAAAATACAATATTAAAATCAGTTGAAATAAATTATGTTGAAGAGAATACTAAAATATCATCTATCTATCTATCTATCTATATCTATCTATCTATCTATCATCTATCTATCTATCATCTATCATCTATCTATCATCTATCTATATCAATTGCCATCATGACCTGTGGCCATAAGTAGCCATTGAAATCTGACTAGAAAGGCTGAACTATCTTCACTCAGCTTCATCTTTTAAGTGAAATTGGCAGAGATGCCTTCACATGATCATCTGGATGGCTCAGTTAGTGAGACCATGGTGCTGATAATGCCAAGGTTGCAGGTTTGATCTCTGTATGGGACAGCTGCATATTCCTGCATTGCAAGTGGCTGGACTAGATGATCCACAGGGTCCCTTCCAACTCTAGAATTCAATGATTCTATGAAATATGGAGTGGGACCATGGAAGTGTGCTGAAAGATTTCAGGCTAATTCTGGTGTGTGGCGTCTACCACCGCCAGCTTTATCCCTCCTGGCTTGTTTTAAAAACCAACTCTGAGGGGAATAGGCAGGTGGGCAGCTCTCTCCATTAAAAAGTGAGACCTGCACAACCAGCGCCAAAACTCTGGTTAAAATATGGTAGCTTAATGTGAGGTAGGCCCAAAATGAAGAACTTCCTCAGCAAAAAAAAGGAGACCAAATGATCCATAACGAACACCACCTGCTTTGGAAAGAAGAAGGGAGAGCAGGAGGCAAAGAGAATATCAAGGCCTGATTCAGTTTGACAGTCTCTTCTCCACAGGGCCAACTTTACATCTTATATTGTTTATTTGTTTTTGCATCTTTTCAACTGTAACTTGCCTTTGGTGCCTCAACTTATAAATGAAATAAATAGCAGGGCTTCTGGAGCTGTTGCCATTTTTGCCACTGTCCCCTGCCCACCTGTCCCTTGTTCAGCACTTTTGAAGAATCCAGTGCCATTCACCAACATGGTGAGGCATCTGAGAATGGAGTTGGCTTGAGGGAAAGTGGGGGACCTGAAGCGAAATGGGTGGACTGCATATGGCCAGGGTTTGACTGCAGTATGGTGTAGGCTCCAGGAAGGCCATCCAGCCTGCCCTGGTGTTAGAGGCCTTTGAAGAGGGAGGGAGGGATGGGAGCTAGAAGAGCCCCCAGGGAGGGCAAAGGTGAGGCCATATGGATGGCTGTAAGAGATCATTAGAATATCTATCTATCTATCTATCTATATCTATCTACCTATCTAACCAAACTAACAGCAATGCCACACAATTCTTCTGATGGTAAATACTTTTGAACTGTTTTTAACACTATGCATTATATTGTTTTGACCCACCCTGGGCCCTATGGTGAAGGGTGGGTTTATATTATTATTATTATTATTATTATTATTATTATTATTATTATTACTTTATAAGTATGGATGTGAATGAAAGAATAATACATATAATTAAATTGAAATACAATGCATCCACATCATAGTGTGAAAGACTGTGACCAGGTGCTTTTTCTGTTTGTGCTTTTTCTACCTGCTGTTCAGGTGCTCACCATCCATTGGCATCTTCAAGGTCCCTGCTGCAGTCCCTCCTTATGGTTCTTTATCTTTCAAATGGATGTGGACTGGACGGCCCTTCAAAGAAAAGTCTGTCATCTGACTGCCTCGTCTAAAGCTATGTTTCCCCTTCCACCTTGAATGTGTCCTTAGAATGATGCTGTATTGGTGTGGAAACATGAACCATGTGGGCTTTGCTTTTAATGGGAGAAGAGAAAGGAAAGGCGCCAACTAGCCTTCTTACCCCTGCCTTCACAGGCTGTTTTTCCCCTGAAAGGAACAAGGAGAGAGTGTGAAGTCACTGCAGGTAAGTTCAAATCTAGTAAGTTCAAATGAAGCTGTCTCTGAACAGTTTTATTGCTTTTGGTCCATACTTCAAAAATAATCAAAACTCCTGCCTAGTTCATGTCCTGTTATTGGGGATATTTTGTATTTGGGGGGAACATTTTGGTTCACCCTTTTTTGACACATGGTAGAATTTAAACAGGGCACTGCAGTTCCCACCTCCACACTTATAAGAAAAGGAGTCACATGATCTGTAATGACTACAAATAGCAGAACAATCAGTTTGACATTTTATCCAAGAGACAGAGATGTCCAGCTATGCAGGGTTCCACTTAAATGTGGAGAACTGAGCTGGGCAATGCTGGTTTATGCTACCTTAGGAATTTGACACCAGTCCACAGGAACTATAAGAGAAATATCCAGCAGACTGGGTAACCTTGCCTTATTTATTACGTGGAGGTAACACACATGTGAGATCCATTCCCGGCTCATTCATTTGGCATTTCCAGAGCAAGGTAGAAATCGTTCCAAAATGCTGCAAATCACATGTGTTTTGAGCCCAGAGACCTTAAAGCAAATTCATTCGCAAGCATATAAAATTTTCTGTAACCTGAACTAAGATTGTTCAGGGGAAGATCCTGGGCTCCTTTCTCGAAGCTATGTAGCTTCCCTGATGTTATGTTAACTCTGACTCTATTTGTTGAAGCTGTTCACTGTGACATAGGTTTTGACCATATCGAATCAGAGCTGCAATCCCAAAGCAAATATGCCAGTGTTTGGGTTTCTGAAATTTCAGAAGACTCCATGGCTTGCTTTGTATTGGAAATGAATTAAGCCAGAAAACCATCACGTTCCATAAAACACAAAGACAAAATGTGGTACGCTAATGAATTTTATTGGGGTAGCCTGATACTTTGACAAACTACCCTAACTTGACATGACGGAAGATGTATTGAAACTTGGGAAGGGCTAACACATTCAGGCTGCAATTTTATACACCCTGGGTGAGGAAAGCTTTTTCTCTCTTAAGGGCTGAAGTCTGTCCAGCCTAATTTGTATGGGGACAAATGCCAATGGTAGATGAGGCCAAAGTCTGAGGTGGGCAAGGAAAGAGACAAGGGGACAGGGTACCACATTCTATTTCCCCTTTCTCTATTTCTGTTTCTCTCTGCCACCCCTCCCTGCCTTTTTCTCTTTCCTTGCCACCACAAGAAATTACATTGAGGTGGACACAGGTTGCCCAAACCCTTGCATATACTGTATGCTTAACCAGGGAGTAAGTCCTATTGAAGTTACTGGAACATATTTCTGAGTAAACACACGTGCTCAGCATCAATCAAACTGTGGTGATCTAATATGTGGATCACTGCCTTTTAGCATCACACAACCAAAGTCGTCTGTTGCCATATTTGCTTTATCTGTGATGAATTATTGCACGGTGACTGGAAGCTGAGTAATGAAGTCAGTCCAAGTTGACTTGTACAGTGAAGTCTGGTGCAGTGGAAGGGTCTTGTGAATGCTTGGACACACGTTCAGGTCGAGACTCACCATCTCTTGAATCATTCCGGTTACAGTAGTTTTTCACAAGGCATTATTTGAGATAATCACAAGACCATTCCAATACACCAAAATCCATAGGAAAACAATCAAGGCGTTCACTTCTTCACGTGTAAAATAATAATAATAATAATAATAATAATAATAATAATAATATATTATTTGTACCCCACCCATCTGGCTGGATTTTCCCAGCCACTCTGGGCAGCCTCCAACAAAAATTAAAAATACATTAAAATGTCACACATTAAAAACTTCCCTAAACAGGGCTGCCTTCAGATGTCTTCTAAATGTCAGGTAGTTGTTTATCTCTTTGACATCTGATGGGAGGGTGTTCCACAGGGCGGGCACCACTACCGAGAAGGCCCTCTGCCTGGTTCCCTGTAGCTTTGCTTCTCGCAGTCTGTAAGTAGAGGTACCACTGTAAAACTGTTCAGAGACAAATTCATTTGAACTTACTAGATTTGAACTTTAGCATCCATGTTCACATCTTATGGCATTTGGGACACTGAAAAATAGCTAACATTATCACACAATTATTATGAACTCAGCTTTGCTGCTCCCCCCCCCCCCCCAAGATGGGAACCTTAAAAGAAAAGGGGAAAGGTTTTTACTTACTCAAGGTGGTACCAAAAACATGCTATCGGCTATCATAAGATGTATAAATATTCTAGTTCTGCATATTTTTGAAAATGTTATTCCTATCATTAGTAGTAGTAGCTCATGACATGTCTTTTGGCTTGAAACAAATACGCAGAGGCTGGAAGGGAAAGAGGGATGTGAGAGGACTGGAAAATGGGCAAGGGGGAATCTGTGGAAAATATTTAATCAGCGTTACCAACACCAAACTGGAAATTAAGAGTTATGATTTGGGGAAGAGATGGAGGCTTTTCAAAGTTCATTTAATTCTAGAGTATTTGGCATAGCTTAATATCAATGTTCACATTTAATCCACAAACACTGAGTAGATTATTTTACACATGAAACAACAGCTGTCATCTACTCTGGATATCAACCCAGTGAGCAATTTGTTTCTCTTTTCCGTAAGGTAGTGTTCAGTTTTATGAAAAACTTTTACTGTACTATTGTCCCATTTTCTGTGGATTTTTTTTAGGTACACGGCTTAGAAATGTGTTTTATTAAGTGGTATAAAATGTCTTAAATAAATAAAAATAAGGCTACATTCGTTATTACTTTAAGGTAGACTCCCATGGAAACAATTAAAAGGTATTTCAGATTGTAGCCCTATGGTTCCCATTAAAATGAAGGAGGATGGAGTTTGGAGCTCTGTTCATTTTCTCAAGCAGGTGGCTGAACTCATACAGTTGTCGATCGTTAGATAACGATTCCCCCAGACTTTTAGTTATTGCAACAATTCATTAAATGGGTAAGATGAAAAATATGAAGGCTATGATGGCTTGGGGAATTGGTAATGGCATATGGAGTCTTTCAACCTGTACATTGCTGGTGTAAATCCAGAGTGGGTTAACAGTCATCAACTGTTAGTTGTTCTCCACCTAATGACTCTCCCGTGACTCATGCTGATAGGACTTGGTGGTTTCAGGCCAAACCTCGGGAGTCTGGATCACAAAATCTACTGCAACATACAGCACCTGTGTTGGCAGTCTATGCATAGCAGTGGTGTCATGAAAGAACATACTGACAATGCACTCCCTAGCTGCCCCCTCCACCAAGAAAGCAGCAGGATATCAGCCTCCATTTTTGCAGGGAGAGAATATTTTCAGAAAACTTAACTGGTCGATGGGGGGTGGAGAGAGATTGTAGCCTAGCCTTTGTTTGTGTGCACAGGCAGGCTGTTTTATTCAAAAAGCGGATCAACGTAAGCCCCCTGGCAAAACAGGCAAAAGATGTGGCATATATATATATATACACATATAAAAGAAACCACATCTTAGATTGTGCGGACACCACAGCCCATGCTGATCTCATTG